TTTTCTGCCACACTTTTCCCTTCCCACAGACTTCCCACTGAGGTGCCTTGATACAGCACTCTGGGAACAGCCTATTGGTTCAGCAATTTCTTTCTGTGTCTTACCCTCTTGCTTGAGGGTGTCAATGATGGCCTTCTGGACAGCAGTCAGGTCGGCAGTCTTACCCATGATTGTGGTTTTGAGTAATGAACAAGGCTGGGAGTTTTTAAAAGCCTCAGGAATCTTTTGCAGGTGTTTAGAGTTACGTCGTTGATTCAGATGGTTAGGTTAATAGTTGTTTAGAGAACCTTTTCATGATATGCTAATTTTTTGAGACAGGGATTTTGGGTTTTCATGAGCTGTATGTCATAATCATCAGTATTAAAACAATTAAAGACCTGAAATATTTCAGTTGGTGTGCAATGAATCTGAAATATATGAAAGTTTCATTTTTATCATTACATTATGGAAAATAATGACCTTTATCACAATATGCTAATTTTTTGAGAATGACCTGTAGAATAGTCATTGTAAAATATCACATCATGTTGCTGCTGATCTGTTTCATGTTGCTGCTGATCTGTTTCATGTTGTTGCTGATCTGTTTCATGTTGCTGCTGATCTGTTTCAATGTTGCTGCTGATCTGTTTCATGTTGCTGCTGATCTGTTTCATGTTGATGTGTTTGTTCGTGCACATCTGCTCACAGACTCATGTTCATGTTTGTGCTGATGTTCAATGTTTTATGTTATGAGTGCTTAGTGTATATTTAGTTGATGTTTTTCTTAGTTCATATCTTTGATGTTATTACTGTTTTTCTTAGACATTTTATTGTTAGATGTAACTGGGACCCTGTGTACATAATTTTGTTCCACCACATGTACCACATGAGGTGCGAATGACAATAAAGAATCTCTGACTCTGAAATTTTGGCTATCACCAATACCGATATTGGGAGGGGCAGTGCCGATAACCGATATAATGGCTGAAAATGTTTTAAGCTTTGTCCACCCACAAGAATCTAAGTAAACAGCTACTTTTAAACCTGTTTTAACACTTGTTACAAAGATAATAATGTCTTAATGTTTTACCTTTTTCAAATACTTTTATTGTCAAAAGTACAGTACGTATAAGAGCTGTACATCGTTTGTTTGTTTGTTTTTTCTTCTGCTTGCTCTTGACTAAAACAGATGCTTCGTCCTTCGCTCCGTCCCTGCTTCGCTCTTTAATAGTGAAGTGCAGGACGCCGTTCAAAGAAAGAGGTTAGCCACAAATAAATCTGACAGAGAGAGGACTGAAGAGAGCAGACAGGAATATAAGGAGATGGGACGTAGAGCAAAGAGGGAGGAGGCTAAGACAAAGCAGAAGGTGTACCATGAGTTGTATGGGAGGCTGTGAAAGGTTCCTGTCAAATGTTGGGGTCACATGTCAAAATCCAAGATGGCCACCGCCATATGTTTGTAAATCAACCACACCTGTCATTTGAGGAAACTGCTTTCCTGTTTTTATATTGCTTAAAAGTAAAGTTTGTTTGTTTGTTGTTGTTGTTTTCAAATAATTAGGGTGGCTGAGGATTAGTCCGTAGTATCCAAGGCCACCATTGGCCACCCTCTGGCTCCTCCATTGTTCCTCTTGGTGGATAAAATCCTACCCTCTTGAATATCTTGCACCAATAACATAAAGGTGTACTTACATTCCCAGTTCAATTCCAGTCCAGAAAAACACTCGTCTGGAAAACTACAAACGTTCATTGTTCGAATCCCTCGGCAGTTGGGGTGTTGGCGATCTGCTTGTTCCAACTTTAAAGATCTTTGAAGCTCAGCATGAGCATCACACGTAGCCTTCTCATCATTACATCCTCTCTGCTTCTGTATTAAATCAGTTTTATGTCACTTGCAGCCTAATTAAATATTTACATTTTCTAGCACTTGCTCCCTTATAGTCTGCACCTAAATCAAATGTTTATGATTTATTTTACATGTGGACTTTGCAAAAGAACGATTAAGATGGTCAGCACGCTTAAATAAACAATGATGAAACAGCTTTGGTCAGCTAACGTAGATGCATGAGAATCAGCTCTCACTGTTCCCATGTTTTGTCTTGGTGTGAACACAAGCCGTGGTCAGAGCTCTTCATCATGTTCTGACACGGTTTCCTGCTCCCTCTGCTTTCGTTGTTCTGTCACAGGTTGCTGTCCGCTGTGTTGAGGACGTCAGAAGTCGAGTCCAGGGCCACCAGAGCGAGCCTGACCGAGCTTCTGAGTCCACAGATGGGCAAAGACATCGTGTGGTTCCTCAGGCGATGGGCCAAAACGTACCTGCTGGTGGATGAGAAGCTCTATGAGCAGGTCTGATGTTCCTGCAGCGGCGCTGTGACATCATATACTGCTAAAGTTTCCTTTACATTTCTCTTCACAAGTTTCATCTCTTTCTGTCTTCCACACCTCAGATCAGCATGCCCCTTAGCACAGCGTTTGGTGTGGACACTGAGGGTGCCCAGTGGATTGTGGGATATCTGCTGGAGAAGGTCATCAACAACCTGTCTGTGTGGAGTTCAGAGACAGAGCTGGCTAATGACACCGTGGAGCTGCTGGTGACACTGGTGGAGAAGAGGGAGAGGTGAGGATCACCTGGAGACCTCATGAATCTCTAGGTTCACGTATTCCTGGTTTTTCTTTGAATGATTTAAAACTGAAGCAGTTTGGATGAGAAGACTCTAGATCAGGGCTATTCAACTGGGGGCCTGTGGGCCACTTCCGGCCCATGGATGACGTCAGTCCGGCCCGCCAATGAGTTCTTTAAAAAATAAATAATAAGTGAAATTAGTCTCTAACCCATCGCACCTGGGATCCACCCAGGTGGAGCAGTGGGCAGCTGTGCGAGCGCCCGGGGAGCAGTTAGGGATTGTGTGTCTTGCTCAGAGACACCACGACATGTGGCTGGGAGTCGAACCTGGGACTTTCAGGTCCCAGCTCGGCCCCTCCATGTGATTCAGTAGAATAAAACAAGTTTAAAAGGTTTCAGATCATTGTAGAGTTTATTTCTTTACATAATGACTCATCGCTGGATGTCCGGCCCCCGAGCTGCTGGTCTCAGAGACCGTGGCCCCTGAGCAGTCTAGTTGAATAGCTTTTGGTATTTAAAACACTTCATACTTGTTTTATTTACAAAAGTCTACTTTGGTTCATGTACAATGAAATGACTTCCGTTAAATGAGAGAATATTGTTTAGCAGTGTAGAGCTGTTTAGTTAGTCCGTGATGCTTCCTGACCGTGCAGGTAGAGCGTGACCTGTGAGCTTGTTGTGACGCAGCAGACTGACGCTCTGCCTCCCATCTGATCAGGGCCAACATTGTGGTTCAGTGTGAGAGCTGGTGGAACCTGGCCAAACAGTTCGCCAGCCGCAGCCCGCCCCTCCACCTGCTGTCCAGCTCTGTGCAGAGGTCCCTGATGAAAGCTCTGGTCCTGGGGGGCTTCGCCAACATGGATTCTGACACCAAGCAGCAGTACTGGGCAGAGGTAACCCGTGTGCACATCAATGAAACGTACTGAACTGTTACAGTCATCACTAACATGGAAGAAAAACTCTCACAGACAAAATGCAGGAGTCAAACTACTAGAAAGATGTTCATGTATTCAAATCCCGAGCGTGTGCACGTTTCCACTTTCAAGTTGGATCCAAAGCACAGTGTGGAGTTACAGAACTTCATCTCCTTGTTGACTTGAGCAGCTGTTGTGCACAGCTGCTAGAAAAGCTTCAGATCAGCTCTCATTTAAACATCTTGCACTACGTCCAAGTTAGAAAAATGAATCTGCCTTTTCCTTCTCTCCTCCTGAGAGTTCACATCACACGTTCTTCAACTTGTCTGTAGCCACAGGTGTGAAACGGTGACGTGACTTCAGCAGGTGGCCGTGTGTTCTGATTAGGTCAAACACTCATTTATCATATCGGGTCTCGAAACGCATCATGGTGAATATGATTAAAGTGCAGAGAAGAAGCTTTGAAGTTGTGCTCCTTGCTGTTGAACACGAGCTGTCAGGTGGAGTGCCGTGACTTCTTTTTACTTTATTTAACTATAAGTTGTAATAAAACACTGAAGCAGAGCAGTGGATTTCAACATGTCACCACAAATGAGCTGCACTGCTCAGCCATGTTTGTCCGGGACAGCCAGGTGAAACAGACATGGATTACAGTTGTCAGCTGCCACCGTGGGTTCCAGATGTTCATCCTGCACGTATGACCGAACTCCGTGTCAGAAAGAGAGACAGATAAAGACGTGCGCCGCCGCAGCCTGTTGAGTTTCTCTTACGATGAGCCCAGCTGTTTCTGCTGCTTTACTCTTTCTGAATAAAATGAACGCTGAAGGACAAATGTTTCTCTGACCCAGATGATGGCAGACACGTGTCTCCTTGAACTTTCAATTTCCTCCAAACTCACCAAGTTCTTTCTGAGTCCGTTTCACACGTTTGTAGCTGATGATAAATATCTGCTCCATTCATTTCTACAGTGTTATAAATGTAATTTAATCAATGATCAAATACGAAGAACAAGTCAACTTTATTCGTAGAGCACATTTAAAACTGAAGCTGTTACCCCAGTTCTGAACATTAAGATCAGTGAGAGTAAAATGAATGAAAAAATAACACGCACTAATGAAAATACTGAACCTTTAATGAAAAGCATTAAATATAAAAACACAGGAGCACAGAACAAAAACTACTCAACTCACAGCGTGTGAAACACCACAGACAACAGACTGAACTCAGGGAGGGAGGTGGCCTGCCCGGGCGGGGGGGGGTCATGTTGTTGGAGGAGGCCCCATCCCCTCTGAGCTTCAGTGCTGTTTTTGGAATGGCCAAAAGCAGCTGGTCTCATGATCTCAGGACCTGATGGTTCCAGTAGATCAGAGAGAGATGAGGGTGCAAGGTCATTTAGGCACTTAAAGGTCAGCAGGAGAATTTTAAAATGGATTCTGGTACATACAGGGAGCCAGTGAAGGGAGGACAGGACTGGAAATATGCTCAAACCTACGAGTTCCAGTTAAGAGCCGAGCTGCAGCATCATGGACGAACTGGAGACATGGCATGGAGATCAGGCTGAGCCCAGCACACAGTGTGTTACAGTGATAATAATAATAAAACTTTATTTATAAAGGCCTTTACAACAACCACAGCTGCAACAAAGTGCTGTACACATAAAATCAAGAACATTTAAACATAAACCGTTGTTAAAACATGAAGGTCAATAAAAACAGAACAGATTCACAGTGAGCTCAGTGTCCGAGTCAGATTGTGTCTCTAAAGATCAAACATGGTCTCTCCTGTGCAGGAGGTCAGCCAGACAGCCAGCTTATGAATTTTATTTTCAAGGAGCACCACTCTCAGCTTTGAGAGAAAAAGTCTTGACGTTAAATTATCTTAGTAAATGTTAAATAAACCTCAAATCAACCTCTTTAAGTGAGTTCTTTGTATAAATTCCATATGTCATAAATAAAGCACACACACAGATTTGTTACGTTTATTTGTCTATATAGAGACAGATAACTTGACAACTGGACGTTATGGACATTAACCTTGAAATTTAGCTGAACTTAACAAGCAAATGGAATTATTCCATGGGATTACCAACAGAACGAGGAGGAAGGAATATTAAATGTAATAATCTGAAGCTGTTCAGCAGGGCACATTAAGAACTGTGAAAATGTAACCAGACAAGACGCTTTGTTTCTGCACCAGTTACCACTAATGGTTAAATTGGGCTCTTAATTTAAAGGATGTCAGCCGTCCCACCACGGCACCCTTCTGGTTCTTTTGTTCCCAGGTGGAGAGGAAGCTCACACCAACTCAATAAAACCAAGAGAAGTCACTTCCATTCATCATTTAAAGTCCATGAGGCCGGAGGAGTTACCAGATCAGCGCTGAGGCGTCCGTCCGACCCGTCTTAACCCCGAACTGGAAGCTGAAGCCCCGTGCAACACAACGCCCCAGATTATGTTGGCACTGTTGTTTATTGTGCCCAGTTTCCACTGGGAGGGAGGACCTCCATCCATCCAGCCAGCCATTATCTTTATCCGCTTCTTCCTTTTGGGTCGTGGGGGTCGCTGGTGCCCATGTCCAGCAGTCACTCTACGAGAGACGGGGGACACCTGGACAGGTCTCCAGTCCATCACAGGGACACCTGGAGACAACCATTCTCTCTCTCTTACACCAGGGGACAGTTTGGAGTTACCAGTCAGTCCAACATACATGTTTTTGGTGTGTGGGAGGAAACCCACGCAGCACAGAGAGAACATACAAACTCCACACAGGAAGGTCCCGGCTGGGATTTGAACCAGCGTAACCTGCTCACTGAGCGACAGCAGCTCTACCAACTGAGCCACCGTGCTGGTTTGACACATTTTAATAATAAAGGAACAAAATGTCCCTTTCCCCTCCATGCTGTCCACCTTAACATCACAAACACCATAAAACAATCAAAACCATCTGAACATTGTATCTAATCCCTTGTATCAGTTTGTGACTCAACTCTGTTTCAGCACTTTTATTGTCTAGTTTATCCTTTGTATTATTTTCTTAGTTGTTTTTGACATTTATTGTTTTATGTGCAGTTTGACATATTTGTGCCTCCTGAAGATGTCCTACAACAAGCCCAGGTATTTGTTGTGTCCTTACTGTACCGTGTTCTTGTCCATGTTCCTCTGCAGGTGCTTCATCCTCTACAGCAGCGTTTTCTCAACCTCATCAACCAGGAGAACTTTGCTCAGATCAGCCAGGAGGAGGCGGTCAAACAGGAGATTGTGGCCACGTTGGAGGCGCTGTGCGGCATCGCAGAGGCAACGCAGATAGACAATGTGGCGTCGCTCTTCTCTTTCCTCATGGACTTCCTGTCCAGCTGCATCGGCCTCATGGAGGTAAGACATGAAATATTTATGAACTTAATTAGAATCAAGGCATTTAAATTAAAAAGTTCCAACAAAAATGAACGAGTTTCAGATTTCTTTCCAAGTGAATTTGTTAATAAAACAATGTTTTTGTTTTTATCTCCCAGGTTTACAGCAACACACCAGAAACAATCAACCTCATCATTGAGGTCTTTGTAGAAGTGGCTCACAAGCAGATTTGTTACCTGGGAGAGGTGAGAGACGCAGCTTGAACACTTCAGATGAAACGTGTGTACATGACTCTGTGAGGGCTGCTTCCTGCAGCCTCTAACACATGAACAGCTGGGTCCAGTACTGAATATAAAGATGATGTTTTACCTCAGTATATTTATTGTTTTATTCATAAGGAAGCTGGAGTGGAATGCATGTAAGATGCATTTAAGTTAAAAATAATCATCCTTACAGGTTGTAGAACCTGATATACCAGGTTATATAGGTTGTACCAGGTTATATAGGTTGTACCAGGTTATATAGGTTGTACCAGGTTATATAGGTTGTACCGGGTTATATAGGTTGTACCAGGTTATATAGGTTGTACCAGGTTATATAGGTTGTCCCAGGTTATATAGGTTGTACCGGGTTATATAGGTTGTACCGGGTTATATAGGTTGTACCGGGTTA